CAAGACCACATTTCAGACTCATCATTTTAATGTGACACTGCTGTGTACCTATGCTTAAAGAGGAAACACTGAATACCTAAACAGCTACGAAATTTCTGAGCTAAAAATATTCCAAAATCTCCAACAGTGAATATCTCTTTAGAAGGACACTTTGAAGCTGAATATTCATCTCTAGCTGAAAGCATATCTGATGGTCCAAAGCATGGTAAATCTCTGACCTACCACTGCCCAGGCTGCAACAATTTTTTTTAAGCAGCTTAAAATATTGGCAAGAGCTCCCCTTACTGGTCTGCTTTCAAACTATCAGCTCTTCAGTCCTGAAAATATTTTATTTGAAACAAAGATGGGTAAAACATTACTTGTATTCCACATTTCGGGAAAAAAAAAACCACCTAAAAACCAAACAAAAACCCAGGTCTATGTCAAATTTATATCACATATCCTATTGTTTACATTTCTGATTAGCTGCTAGGTCTAAAGCAGAAGATAAACCCAAGCAGAAGATAAACCCAAAGATAATGACTTAGTTTAGGAAGAAATTGTTCTTCCATCACTGTGAACCTTAACTTATTTTGAACCCTTGATTTTGTACAGCACATACAGGCCTTGCTACAGCCTAAATTACAGAACAAACATCCAATTCTAACATACTGAGTAATGCACTCATTTCACAGTAACCACCAGCAGCTTCAATGGGATCATTTGTGGGATAGTCAGGAGTCAGCATGGAAATTTGGAACTACAAAAAAAATCTATTATGAAAGCTTACTGCTTTCTTTAATGGCCTATTGTTTGAATTTAAGAGCAAAACATACCTCTCAGACTGTGCTGGTTTATATGATTAAAGAGTGCTTGAAATACATATATAGATACAGATATAGATATGTATGTATGTATACCCATTCATATATGATTTTTAGTGCCCTGTATTTGTAAATTCAGCCTAGGGGCTGACTGAACTTTTATGGTGAAGATGCCAACTAAGAAAGGTTAAATATAAGTAATTGTAATGACACCATGAAATACCATTATCTTTAATTCATAGCAAACAATCTTGTTTACTTCAGCTCACAGTAAACAATCCTGTTAATGCATAAAATACATGTTCTCTGAATTGTTCTCACGCGCATGAGGTGGCCCTGCAGAGCTGAGTGAGAAAAAAACTGTAAAATCTGTTGTTATGGCACATTAGGAAAAAAAAGAGGGAATTAGAGGATATGCTTTTGAATGTACCCTATAAACCTGGAAAGACTGTAAAACAGAATTTCTTAATGTATAACAGCACTTGGAGGAGGTTTAGCACAGCACATCAGACAGCATCTAGCTCTCACCACTAAGTACCAAAAGCTAAAAATCTGAAATAACCCCCCCCCCACCAAGTCCTCCAATTATCATTATAAGTAGATTAAACAAATAAACAAAAACCACTATTATTCAAATGGATTCAGATGCCTACTTTTTTTGGTGAAACACAGGCAGTTTAGCTACAGAATCAAATCCACTCTCTGGTAAAATGGTAGAATTTCCTAGAGCATTCGCTATTTTCTTTCTTGAGGACACATCCATTCTCTCTAGTGATTGTTGGTCATTTCCTCCTTTACCATACTGGAATTATTCTTCCTGGGCCAGTTGTTGTACCAGAGAGAAGGAAGAGGGACTCAGGCATTGGTCACAAGTAAACCAAGTCATTACAACCCCTATCTATACCAACCAACCAGGGTCATACTCATTGTTCTGCCAACCCCTCTGCTAAAATAACCCCCTCTCCAGAATTAGCTTATCCCACAATTTATAAGACTAAATATGTGACAGCATTTAGACTTATTTGCTTTTTACACAACTTTCTTTGAAGGCCATTAATAAGCAAAATTTTTAAAAAATCTGAGGTTTTGAACAAAAAAACCAAAATGCCCAGAAGTATAATCTTCAATAAAAATGAAATGTTATTGCTTTATTTCACTAGGAAGCTGCACTTCCAGTTTCCATCCCTGTCTTCCCACATAACATGTTAAGTTGTTCAAATTCTCTTACCTTGCTTTAGAGATCTGTCTCATCCTCTATCAAATACAACTCTTTAGCTTCTGCATGTGTTAACAAAAGAATTTATGAGCATGTTCAAGTTACAATAACTACACAAGAACAACTGTTTACATCACAAAATGCTAACAAGTGAACTTGCAATCTTATTTAGATCTAAGTATAAATAAGTAGCAAGTAATAAAGGAAGTTCAAGTAAATGTCTTTTATGTAATTGTACTACCATGCTCTTCTTCCAGTACACAAAATACTTTCAACTCAAACTGAGAGATAAAAGTGAGTAGTGAAAGCCCTTCAAGATAAAATTTGGTGCTTTTACAAGAAGCAACAAGTCTGTCATTCAAACTCTATTTTTGCTGCTCAAGCAGGACCTGAGAACACTAATTCTTTGATAGACACTAGTAAAAAAGTAAACATATTAGTTATGGATACAAACATTAAATTAACATACAATATTCCAAATACAGTGAGAGCTGACTTTCTCACCCCATCAACTCTTTTATCAAAGCATGGATATATTTAAACAGATCTCCTACAGCTTTTATTCTCAAATGTTTCCAGACTTTAAAAAATGTATCTTTAACATAGTGTTTCATTCCAAGCTGTACTCACCAATAATATTTCACACCTGAATGAAAACCAGCACAAACGTTTAAAATCTGTAAGTGTAAATACGGATTATCTCAAAATGTATAAATATTTTTAACATTAGTTTCTATTCTTCTCCCATTTGGGCAAATATTTTTGTTGTTGTTGAAACATTAAAGTTCTAGGACTATATGCATTTAAAAACAATCAAAACCTTTCAGAGGTCCAAGTTTATTCAAATCACAGAAACCCTTGCTTGGGTTTTTTGTTTGTTTGCTTTTTAAAATCATACACATACTAAATTTCTAAAAGTTTCCTCATTGTATTTCCTTCACCATACTACTGATTCAAGATTCTTTTTTCTCTAGGAACTACAGTGAACTCAGCTCCTTAGACTACATACGATGATACCAACTTATATCTTTACATCTTTTGTTTATTCTTCCAGCACAGAATTGCTTATGCCTTGTTAAGGTAAAGGAAGGATCAAAAGTATTGACAGGTTTAGAAGTTAAAAGTCCATTAACTTGTTTGCTCAAAAAAAACCAAATTGTAGGCAGAGAGTATAAGAATGCATGCCCAACTGTTTAGTTTATACAGTTTGGAACTTCTATCCCTCTGTATTGCCTAAGCTGTTTATCAATTGTAAATATAAGCTAAAATACAGGGAATACAGCAGCAAAGCTGTACAGTTCACCAAGAGAAAACGACAAGAACTGCAAGAAGTTTATTGCGGACTGAAAAGGAAAGTCACAATAGAAATGGAGCACTAGACGTGCAAAATACAGAGAAGCTTAACATGTGGAATTCCAAACCTGACTTTTCAAATGCTGTAATTTGAAGAGAGTGATGGATGATTTACCTTTCAGCAGAATCTGGATGGAAAACAAACTAGGATTCCAAAGAAAGGAAACAGACACTTCTAAATAAATTGTACTAAGCTATAATGCCATGTAAAACTACTGATTATTTCTCCATTAAATGAGCACCTAATAATATTCAAAAAAATAACAATTATGAGGTCAATGTTTGATCTGTCTCTTGAGATAAATCTCAAGAAATAGGTAAGAAACCAAAAACCATTTATAAATAAGATTTAAACTTCTTATTTCAGGTAAAGACATGTAGCTGGTTCTTAATCTACATGACTGGGGAAGCACCCACTTGTGAAAGAATTTGGACCCAAAGTCATTGTTCTATACAGTCAGAGAAAAGGGAAAGTATCAGAAATGTCATTAAGTTATATTTTACAGGGCTATTTGCTCATCCACATGAGCCTGAACATACACAATTCTACAGAATTTTCTTTGGACAGCTTTTTGATTAAAAACATCTAGTGAAACTTTCTCCTGAAGATTCCTTCTTCCTGAGAAAAAAATGCAAACCAAAAAACCAATCTGAACAAAAAACAAGTACAAACCTACCAATTAATCTGATATCTACTGGACAAGAGAAAACAAACAGTAGTGGCAGTGTCAGTAAGGAAAACTGTTCCTTATAAAAGCCTTTCTCTTTACGCTTGTTCTTTTTCTCAAAGAAAAAAAGGTGGCATCTATCTAATGTGCATGAGTAGGTCTGAAAACCAAGCCACTGTCTGAGCTAATATTACAAATACCATGTAAAAAAACCCCAAACAACGAAACCATGACACTACAAAGCTTTCTCCTTTGCAGCAAAAGGTAATATGGGAAAAAGAACTAAGCTAAAAAAAACCCCAAAACCATACCCAAAAATCCAAACCCAGCTTTCTTGTTTGTTAGGTACAGCATGGGAGTCTGAGTACATAACTTATTGTGACTATCAGCTTCAGTAAAAAAATACAATCATATCTATAGGACTGGTCTCCCATTTCTGTTACCCCTTTAATTTATGATGATCTAGGGCAATAGATTTTGTTGTCCCAATCACTCCATATCCCTCCTTCCCTTCCAAACTCCCACCACTTCTCCCCAAACTCCGAACAACTCAGACAGCACAGCCTTGGTAAAAGCCGGCGTGGAGGATGGGGCATGTTTTTACATTTGTAACATGTTTTAACAAAAAAACCCCAACGCTCCCAACCCCAAACAACACAACAAAACACTCAGACCAACTCTCATTCTGCTGTACAAAACCAAGTTAGAGCAGTACCTGACCATGCCTCCAGTTTAGAGATGTCCCATCAAGCACAGATTCAAGAGACATTCTTTACTTTCTATCAGTCACGCTATAATCAGATTCAATCACACACAGGAACACAACAGGTCAAAAGACCTCATAGAGCATTCCAATACAGAAACACTACACTACTTTTTGTGTCATATCATCTTGCAAGATAAAAACCTAAATGAAAACCAGAGCATGCATCAAAAATTCTCAAGGGAACTCCTCAAGTGTATAATTTTAAGTCTTTTAATAAAGATACCACATTCTTTCAAAATGAGAAACAAAATCCAATTCCAGACTATTTTGTCTATGAAAATGATGCATTTTCTATAGTAGCCACTTCTATGTAGAACTTACATGCCACAGTGTTATCTATTAAAACAGGAACAACTCAAACTATTGAAATTCACTGTTCCAAAACTTGCAGTAATCTCATTTCTCTGGTTATTCTCACTTCTGAGTAATAGGAAACGAGTTCTGGTCCATTAGCTCGCCCACTCTCTCCTGGAGGAAGTTGACCAACTCAGCTAACACAAAGACATGAGTTTCATCCAGGTCTTGTATGATGAACTTCTTTCCCAAAGCATTTGACTCATCCAAGTAGAGTAGAAACTGCTTCATTGCAGGGTCACTGTAGAGACAAACACACATCAGACCCCAACTCACAGTTACAGCAGCAAGCAGAAGAAACGCCATTCAAAGACATTCCCAAAGGGTTTAGAAAAAGTGGAATTAATTTTCTCAGCTTAAATACAGTTTGTTTAGTAAAAGTCGTCTCTTTCCAAGTAGTTTTGGTTACTATAGAGACAAAAATAAAATGGTAATAAAGTCTAATGAGTAGAACCAATCTCTGCTTGATTAGCAGAGAAGATTTTGTTTGCTGCTGCTAAGGCAGCTTCAAAAACACTCAAACCAAAACTAAAACTCAAAATTCCAACCCTTAATAAAGCAAGACTGAACTTACATTTCTGATTTCAGCAATAGCCTCATAAAAACATGTTTCCTTAAAGCATAAGGATAACCAGAAGAGAGGAGAACACAGATCTCACACAAGTAGTGGAGCACAGACAAAGAATGCTCACATAAGAATTATACATTTCTGACACTCTAACTGAACAATCACAATGTCACCTTCTAAATAAAATTTACATGTTTAGAAGAAAACATTTTGGAAGTATGGAACTGCTTTTGTGCAGACATAGATTGCACACATATTAAGAGATTAAGTGTACAGCAGAAATCTTACACATCATTTAATGCTATACAATGACTCCACAAATCTTGAGTGATGCTTCCTTTAATTTTGGAGGTAGCCAGGGGCCTGAGTCTCAATCCAGAGGTGAGATTATATGAAAACAGGTACATTGCACCTACACCAAAAGCTGACATTTACCAACTCCAAGCACATTCCTTTTGAATATGATCTACAAATAGAACCATATGTTTGCCTTGCATTGAATTCAATCTAGAGCTGATTAAAAAAAAAAAAACAAAACAGGAAAGGAGAAATGAAAGATTACCTTGCCTCCCTCAAGAATCAGTAGAGAAATACTTTGTTCACAAACAACAACAGCAAGAAACTCTGTTTGCAAGCAATACAAAGAACAAGAGGGAGCATCTAACATTTTCAAGGAAAAATTGCCAGGATAATTGGATCACTTGTACTAGGATCAGTCATACCTGTCAAGCCTATACATAACTTACATATACAGCTAAAATTTTAACTCGCGTACCTTTCAAAAAATGTTAGGGGGAGAATATTAGGGGACCATAAGACATGGTAGAATATAGCTTTGAAGCATAGCTTCTCATAGTTAATGCTCATTTTAAGTATTTTACATCCTTTTCTCTACTTAATTAAAATAATCTGCAGACTGTTATATATTTTGAAAAAAAAATGGATTTTTTTATAAGAATGTGATTGCTAACTTCTTCGCCATCCTATTTTTTACCCCATATTCATATGCAGTTTTCTTTTCTTAAAGAGGTTAGACATAAGTGGAAAACAGTCACTTGAATAGAAAAACAGGAGTTTGGCATTAAGATTTTCTACAATTGCCTTCTCTTTCTTCCCCCAAAGGCTGCACTTTTCTCTGCTTGTTCAGTACCACCCTTCCCACAATAATTCCTTTTGTCTGGGCTCTTCAGTTAATTCCAGGTCTAAAGAAACACAGTCTTTGACACAAGGAGAGGCAGGAAATGCTGTTACTCACCACTCAACCAGAACACCTTTCAGAACATTCACCATTTTCCCGGCTCCCTCACGAACGCTGAAGAGTTGGCAAGAGCAACCCCTGCTCTGGATCACACTGTGAAAACAGAGTTCACTCTTTAGGATTTTTAGATGTTTAATAAAGGATAAAAGAAGGACAAATTTCCAGTGCTGGGGTGCTTTTGGCAAACAGCCAAAGAGCACAGAGGTAGCCTAAAATCAGGTTCTCAATATATAGTTACATTGCTGGGGTTACATGCATATTCATTACTTTATACATTAGTCAAACGTTCCTTTGAGATTTTGATGTTTCTCTTGCTTGGTTTTAACCTTTGACTTGTCTGCAGGACATTCTGTAGATTAGGTCCATATATTTTATTTCTTCTTTTAGTTCTATCCTGTTGTTTCACACTGCCCAATAGCAAAGAATTGATAAATCCTTCCCAGATGCTTAAGCTCTGTTTTCTGTCGCTGTCATCACTTGTGGAGGCCAGTCCACAGATGTAAGAAACAACATAATTGCTTTACACCATTCTCTGAGTTATCTACATAGAATGATTTTAGTCTCCATTTTAACAGTTTGCTAAAGCTTACAATATAGCATATTTATCACACTATTCATATGAACTATACAGTACAAACACAAACTGACAGGTTATAGTATACAAAAGCAGTTAAACTGAGTATAAATTGTACTGTATCAAACTACTTGTGATGTAAAAAGCTAATCTATAAATGCGAAAGCCAGTATTATATTATCATCTATGACAGCACTGGCGACCACAGGAAATCTGAAAGCGCAACACGCTCCACACACAAATCCAAAAAAACAACGCCTCGGTTAAACTCAAAGACTCTTTACGACAACGCTACTCGCCAGAGGAGTTGCTGGTACATCTTGCCCGTCACCTCCAACTTGGGCAGAGAGGTCCCCGGGGGCTCCGGTCCACTCCCTCACCTCCACCAGACACAGAGGGCTGCCCCGGGATCCGCTCCCTCACCTCTGCGGCACACAGAGGCCTTCCCCGGGATCCGCTCCCTCACCTCCGCAGCACACAGAGGCCTTCCCCGGGATCCGCTCCCTCACCTCCGCAGCACACAGAGGCCTTCCCCCAGATCCGCTCCCTCGCCTCCGCGGCACACAGAGGCCTTCCCCGGGATCTGCTCCCTCACCTCCGCCGCACGCAGAATTTGCCGGGATCCGCTCCCTCACACCCACCCTCCTTCCGTGCCGCTTCCCTGCGGGCGGAAGTGCCTCGTCCGCGCATGCGCGGACCCGCGCCGGCCCCCGGCAGCGCCCGCGGATTGGCCGGGGCTGCCGGCGCTCGCGATGGCGTCACGCGGCGCGCGGGGCCCGCCGCAGGGAGCGGCGGCGCAGGCGGAAGGTGCGAGCTGCGGCCCGGGCGGGGGGCGCGGGGATGGCGGGCGGCGCAGGGCGGGCCGGGGCTCAGGGTAACGGGTGCGCTGTTCCTCCCTGTTGGAAAGAGGCACAGAGCCACCCCCGCCTGGCTGCTTGCCCGTTTATGTGTTGCATTGCCTGAAGTTGTGTTTGCGATGGTGTTTTTGTCTTTTTTTTTTTTAACACGCCCTAGCTGCGCCGTCACTGGCGGGTAGGTGGGGACCGCAGCCCGGTGCGGGACGGGGTTCGGAGCTGCCTGAGCCGGCTGTGAAACGGTGCGAAATGGCTCCTTTTGCGTTATATTTGTATGTGCCTAAGCGTGAAAAGCTCAGCGAGAGCCGGCAGTGCGCGCTCGCAGCCCCGAGAGCAATCGGCTGAGGCGGGGCGGCGATGCTGTCCCCTCCTCCGCTCTGGTGAGACCTCACCGGGGCTCCCCCACATCAGGAGGACACGGAGCTGCTAGAGCAAGCCTAGAGAAGGGCTACGAAGTTGCTAAGAGGGCTGGAGCACGTCCCCTGTGAAAAAAGAGCGAAGAAGTTGGGGCAGCTCAGCCTAGAGAAGAGAAGATTGCATGGAGACCCCACGGCAACCTTCCAGTGTCGGAGGGGTCCTACAGGGAGTTCAGAGACTGATTGAGTCCTACACTTAATCAGGAACTGTGGTATAGGGCAGGGAGTAATGGGTGCAAACGAAAAGGGGAGACATTTAGATTAGATATTATGAAAGAAATTCTTGGCTGTGTAGGTGGTGAGACACTGGAACAGATTTCTTAGGAAGGTTGTGGATGCCCCAGCCTTGGAAGTGTTCAAGGCCAGGCTGGATGAGACCATGAGCAGCATGGTCTGGTGAGAGGTTCCCCTGCCCATGGCAGGGGTGTTGGGATTAGGTGATCTTTAAGGTCCATTCCAGACCCTTAACATTTGATAATTTGATGCTTGCTCTTGGACCTGAACAGGAGCTCCTGGCAGCAGAGGAGTGGTGTTCACTTTGTCCTCCTGTGTTTGCAGTGCATGTTTTAAATTTTAACAATTGTGGCACCTGCTGTCACTGAACCATATGTTTATTTCAGACTGTGGTTAGAGAGAAGAGTAAATGTGAGTGTGGTGGTGTTCGCAGGGGTCCCAGGACAAGGGAAGAGATGAGAATCTTGACTCCATGTTTCAGAAGGCTGATTTATTATTTTATTATATGTATTATATTAAAAGAAAATGATACCTTAAAACTATACTAAAAGAATAGAAGAAAGGATTTCATCAGAAGGCTAGCAGTAGAAAGTAATGGAATGAAAATAAAATCTTGTGACTGCTCACAGCCTTGACACAGGTGGCTGTCATTGGTCATCAAGTAAAAACAATTTCACATGCTGGGTAAACAATTCTCCAAATCACATTCCAAAGCAGCAAAACATGGAGAAGCTGAAGCTTCTCAGCTTCTTAACAGAAAAGATCCTAACAAAAGGTTTTTCATAAAATATGTCTGTGACGTTTGAGTACTGTAATTCTGGGAGTAAAGGTGGTAAAGGAGCTGTCATGAGACAAGGAATTCGGAGGCAGGAGAGGTGTCTCTAGAGGACTGATGGTCAAAGTCTTAAGTGTTTCATAGTGTGTTGTACTCTGTTGAAGTGAAAGGATAAAAAATGTTGAAATGACAAGTCAAAAAGAAGTCTGCAGTGATTTTGACAATGCTGGGGTAATGCTGTTGTTTTTCAAAAATCTCCCAAACACAAGCAAGAGAGAAGGGAAAAATCAAAACTTTTGGGGAAATAAGAGAAGAGGGAAGGCATGTTAAAGGAAGGACACAAAAAGAGTTCCCTTGTTCAGATGTTGGACACGGATGATAAAAGTGATATAAACACTTTTCTTGGTCTGTAGAGATTACCTTAAATTCAAGGAGAATATCAGGCTTCCATATTTCAGCATCAGGTTTACACATGTGACATTTTATCATTTTGAGTCGTGATTGTGTCAAATTGAGCTAATTTGACAAGAATTTGATTAGTATATGAGAGATACTGGTGTGTTTTTACATCCCTATAAACACATTAACTCAGTTAGTATAATTGCACCAATGCAGACACTAAAATTTCACTTAGAAGATAGGAGTTTCATGTTACTTCTGCACTGTATGCAAAAAGTGTTCATTTTAATGTAGTAGCTCTTTAAGTCTTGTTAGTCAAAATAGAACTTGCCAACACAATAAATGATGAACTTTTAAAGAGGTTGGTTACTAAGTTGTACTAAAGCTCGTGTCATACTGAGTAATGTCTTGATGGAGATAGGACCATATCTGGTATTTAGGGAAGAGTGACTAAGAAGTAGGAGAGGAAACTTAGAAGCAGAGAAGTTAATTGGAGATACTTAGTCACTAAAATGAACAGTAATGTAATTGATAAAAAAACTGCTTTAAAGTATTCTTATAATTGAAACTCAGCCCATTATTCAGCCCATAATTTGAGAAATTTATAGAGTTTTTTAATCAGAGTGCTTTATATGGAGTGAAATGACACAAACATGGTTTATTATGACCTTTCCGATCATGACCTTTGCTGTAAAAAGTCAGGAAAAAAATGCTACAGGATTTCTGCTGTAATTCTCAAATCAATCATTACTTTTTTTTTTCCCCCTCAATATGCAGAATGTCAGTGGCTGCTTACTGCGTATTTTGCTACAGAAAAATAGGAACTTCTGGTCCAACCACAAAAAAACGCCTACCCTGGTATGACATCAGTAAGTAGAGTTCATTATGTATTGATCTGAAGTGTTAATAAAAAGGAATGACATGACACCATGCTTAATTAAACAATACTGAAGTTTTAAGCCCTTGAATGCTTAGTGATTAAAAGCTTCTGTTTGTTCCTGCTCTCTGCTTCTGACCTTGCTTTGCATGGTGATATGTAATATGACACCAGCAGATTATGTGGGAACAGATATGAACACTAGATGAGGGTCTTTCCCTAACTAAATGTGATCTCCTTAAACTATCCTCAATTCCACTTGTATCTGATTTTTTTGTAATCTCTAGAGCCATGAAATAGTTACATTCATAAACAGTGAATAAAACTTGTTTCTATTATTTCTTTTTCCTTATTTACTTCAAGCTCTGCTTAGTCTCCGTTTTCTTTGGTGTCTTCAGCATATAATGACAAATCTTACAGTTCTGAAATTTATTTCTGAGCATTAAAGATAGGATATTTCAATTTCTCCTCTACAGGAAGCATTGCATTTTTTTTCTTTTTCAAACTTCTCTGCCAGTTATTTCTTCAACATGTAGCTGATGCCTCTTGTCTGCATGCAAAAATTCTTATGGCCTCACAAAGATGGAAGCTGATAGCAGTGGTTGTGGGGCAAGTCTCCCAATTCATGCTGAGGAAAAGAAATTATTCATGATAGGTGAGATGTGTTACATTGGGTTTGCTGCTGCTGGTAATGATAAGAGTTTCTCTGGATAGAGATCCTTATATCCAGATAATCAGATGGACTTTGTAGATACAAAGTAGCTGAAATCTGGAAGGAATAATTTTATTTAAAAGGCAAATTGTTGCAAGCAGCATGTATTTATTATCTGTTTGCTTTATACATTAGATTAAATTGAATTTTTTTAAAATATATTTGCTTATGGAGACTCTGCAGGATTTCTCAAAAACATACATAGTCCTGTATGTAATAATATACACTGAAGAAATAGCTGCAACATGTAGGAAAACGTTAACTTCTTAAAATGATTTTGAGTTCCAAATCACTGCTAGTGTTACAGGCAGAGAAAGTTCACTGTTGTTTCTGATAGCTGAGCAGTGCATGCAATTGAGAGGTAGCAATATTCAAAATAAATGGCACTGACAGGATACATGTTTTATCATCTTGCTTAGGAGAGCAGGAAATCTGCATCAAGTAATGTTTTCTCCAGTTGTAAATTTTGGCTAATAATTTCTTGAAAGCTAGAGAGCAATAGAATTTTTTTAAAAGCTTGTTCTTAATGATTTGTATTCTTACTGTCTGATAATCAAATGGTAACTGTGCTTTTATTGAGGTGATGCACACAACTTTGTTTGACATTTGGTTTTGATTTTTTCAAGGAAAAGTTGCAAAGGTAACTGGATCACTTATACTAGGGTAAGTTGTAACCAATGAACATATATGTAACTTGAAGATATGGTTAAAATTTTAATACGTGTATCTTTCAAAAAATGTGATAGTATTAGGGGACGTTAGACATGGTAGAATATAGTCTTGAAGCACAATTTCTGGTAGTTATAACTAATTTCAAGTATTTTATAACCTTTTCTCTACTTTGCAAAATCAAAATAATCTACAGACTATTATGTATTTTGTAAAATCTCTATGGTTTATGCCAGTGTGATTGCTATTTTTTTGTATTATGTTGTTTTAGTTGATATTCATATGCAGCTCTTTTTTTCTTTAAAGAGGCTTTGTGTTCATTACCTATGAAGTCCTGTCCTTAAATAAGTTACTGAAAATCGATACTCAAGCTCTACATCAAGAAAAACTGAAATCCTATATATACGTACGTACAGCTTCTCTAAATCCGAGTGAATATCAAGGTAAGATGCATAATTGTTTGAGTTCTAAAAACAGAATTCTAAGAGAGTAGAATGTCTCTGGAGGTCACCCTTACATAACAAGTAAAATTATATTTCCTGAAATCTGTTACCAAGAAATGTCACCAAATTTATTTTAAGCTGCTGACTGGTTTGGGGTTTTTTTTAAGATAGTTCTTTCTATACATAGTTCTCTATACATCAAATAATTATCTTTATACAATGTCTATATGTATATGTGTGTATATTTCTTTTTCCATATATTTACGAAATGTGAGGTGAGGGAACTGTCTTTCAGACTTCCAGTAATATAAAAATACTCTTGTAGGAATTACATACAAAGCCAGAAAAGAAATCCATAAAGCAGTGAGGAGAATTCTAGAAACAGAAGCCAAAATCTTCCGGAGGCCTTTTAGTGGTAGGTATTAAAAGTAGGACTTTATCTATGGTTATTATTTTTTAACAATAAGAAGTAGGGCAATTAGGGAGTAAAACATTTCTTCTTACAAAGTTAACATGTTCTTTTGTCCTTGAAATAGTGATAATATAGCTTACAATTTCTATATTTATATTTATTATATCAGTCTGGTTATCAGTCAGTTGTCTATTTTCTGTGTATTAGAACAATTTATTTTCTTAAAGTAAGTGAAAGTGATGGTTATAAGGATATTTGAGGGTTGTTTTTTTCCTTGTTCCAGAAGTGATTTAAAATTTAAGATACCAAGTTAATATTTGATATCATTTTTGTGTAAAAAAGGTGTTTGTGGGATGAAGTACTCTCAAAATCTCATTCTAGAGAAGTATGTATGCTTTCATCAAAATTGACAGTATTAACTGAAAGCAGCACAGTTTTTTGGATCAGTGTTACTGCTTTTTCAAGTAATTTGAAACAAGAATTTCCATTCCTATCAGAAACTCTGCTCCTGAGGCATACTGTCTATTCTCATTTAACTCTCTGTTAAATGATTATAGCAATGTGCATCTCCACTGTCATCTTATGAAATCAATTCTTCAAGGTCAGAGCCTCAAGAGTTTCTAATAATTTGCAGCTCCTGCTGGTAATTCTGGTTGGTAAGTGCCAGCCAGGGGTTGTGTCTGTCATGTAGATACATGAAATATCAACTTGGTGCCACTAAAATGAGACAATCTCAACATTTTAGGATTAGCATTTTACTGATGTCATTCTGTCCTTGTTCATTGTACTAATTTAAGGTTAAAATGTTACACTCTAAATTACTGTGAACAAGTAATACTCAAATATTTAAAAACTACATATTTCTGTACTCCACTAATAGAAATGTGGCTGGTTAAAATGCTCATTAATAATAACTTGGATTTAATTTGTTTCCTGGTCAAAGAACAATTCAGTACCTTTGATGGAGAAGATCATGAGTGTGCCTTATGGCTTCTCTTAAAGAGAACTCAGTCAGAAGACAAAGCAATCCGACTGCAGGCTGTACAAGACCTGGCAAGCAACAGTCACTGGCATGGTAATGTATGCTGATGTAACCTAATTTGTCCCAAAAATTCCACAGAGTCTCAGTTAGCTGTTCCAAGTCTGCTGACAACATGAAGAAAAGCTAGTAGCTGCAAGAAGCATAAATATGCTCTGAAATTTGGTCTAAAATGTGGGGGAATTATTTACATATCAAGTAGCTGTTCTTTCCTAATGCCCTGATACAGTGAGTGTCTGCAGTGCAGGCATCTCTCAGTTTCCCCACCACAGGATTGTAACCATTGCTGTGGCATGGAGAGCAGTTCATGCCCTTTGGTTCCTTGGGTTTTCTGTTGGGATTGCTAATGCAGTCACAAGTTTTGCTAGTGTTTTTTTTTTTTTTATAAGCCTCTGTAAGAATGAGTTTAAGGTCATTGGTTAAGTTAATAAAAATTGGTTAGGAGCTGATAGGTTGTAATGACAAACCAGAGGTAGAGGGCTGGTACATGCAAGCATTGTCTGTAAGACATTTTTTGCCCTAGTTATTAATAGTAATAAGTTCTCCCTCTTGCTCTAGCAGCAAATATCCTTGAAACCCCAAGTAAAGGGGAGGTGTATGTATGTGTATTTGTGTTTCCTCCTTTCCTCTCCACCACCAGGCTACATAAACTAGGTGACATTCCATTCTGGACTCTTGTTTTGGTGATTTAGTCAGTTGTGGATCTTTCACTTTTCCAATGCAATTCCACACCATGGGATTTATCTTGTTTCAAATTGCCTTTTTAAAATTCTAAATAATTTCCACAGGGAATTTACACCAGCAAACTGTGTTTGATAATGTTTCAAAGCTAGGATCTACCAAAACTGAGTTTTGTTCTGTGTAGATGAATACTCTTAGCAGGTGATTTCAGAGCACAAGATGTCCAGTATCAGAAATTTAGTGCCTTTTGTTATCTCCCTTTCTCTGTAGTGCTCATTGTTGAAGTATTTGGACATTTCACAAACATTAATTATTCTTGCCAGCTGCCTCATGAGGGAAACAGGCTTTTTTTAACCTGATGCTTCAAAACCAAGTCAAAGAAAGTTTAGGACTGAAAGTATGTGCTGATTTTTCACAACTAGGACAAAGTGTTTGGCTCCAGTGAGTTCAGTTTGCAGGTGTAAATTACCTCCACCAAAGGAAAAGTGTTGCCAATCTACAATCTTCTGACTGTGAAAAGTATCAATCTTCTGACTGAAAAGTATCTTTTAAATGGCTTGTCAGTTTTGTTCTAGAATTGTATAACAGTAACAGGAATAGAAGAAAATTTTTGTAGAAAAAAGCGTTGATCCACTTCAAGGTTTTATTTTCTTTTCCTTCAGTTTGCCACTGAATTACCAAACTGTGCTATAAAGAGCAGTTAGTGCCCAAGTGTATTTCAGCTCAGTGTAGTGCTGGTCTAACATCTGCAGTTTTTAACTTTTGGAATTTGTGGTTAGAAAATCTACTTACAAATCTACCTTACAAAAGGTTTTTGTAAGTAGACTGCAGAGAGATGGTTCTTCTTTTCAAGTATATTTGCAAAGTAGATCACAAACTTCATTTAAAACAAAATTAAGTATTTAAGGTTAGTTTTAACTCTTAACATTCTTGTACAACAGATTATCAGTATGTCACAGTTGCTCAAACCTGTGATCAAAGGACTGCTATAGGTTTGGCTCGATCCAAAGATGTTGACCTTCGCTTTTTCCTGCCTCCACCTCCATTGCCAAAAATAAAGACTGTAAGTAAAAGGAAAGTGGGCATTAGATGATTCTTACTTGCTTACTTCTTTTTTACTACTTTTGTTGTTAACTTTGTTGAAAGTGAAGTTCTTCTAAAGTAACTGACTAGTAGTAAAATACCAAAATACAAAAAACTAATATATGATACACCCTTGGGGTGGGTATATCTGCATTAGGGAGTGGCATGATGGAAAGAAATAAGGTTGGAAGTATTGATCAATTATTATTCTTGGACTGTTATCCACATGACATATTTACAAGCAGTGAAGTCTGAGCCACTTACTAGTCTGACAGACACACTGCTTGTCTCTATCCAGTAGGCAATGTGAAGAAATCATCCTGGATTGCATTGTTGACACTGACAGAATCCTACACAGGAGCAGAGCATGCTCCTGGAGGCCTTTGCCTCCTCAGTAGTACTTGGTGCTCTACTGTAGGCCCACCTCTTCACTGCCAGCTTTTGGGTGCCAGCAGATCCTTATTGGATAAATTTGGCCTTGCTTTATTTTTAAGTTAAAAATTAGCTTAACACATTTTAAATGTATGTATATGTTATATATATATGATAGCTTAACACATTTTAAATGTATGTATATGTTATATATATATGATGGTCTGAGGAGTCATGTCATCAGCTTCTTCAACAAACAGAGCTCACATATGAACTATAATATACAAGGTGTTTTGGAATGCTAATGGAATGAAGAGGGGCAGAAGGCCCTGTCAGAAAATACCCGTGTATCTTAACCAACAGAACTCTGAATATCAGCTTTGATTGGGTGTGATGTTCTCAGTTTTTGCTTTCTTGCCTTTGTAACATTATGTGATAGTGGATCTCTACCTGCTAGTCCTTAAAATACTAGGTTACACCAGTATATGGTTGTGGATATATTTTTACAGCAGTGTGATTGCTAGGTGATTGAAGCTAAGTGTTGCCAATCTGCTGCTCAGGAAGTTGAAGCAAATCATTGTGGCAACTTTATGCAAATAAGTCTCCATCTCTGATTTTATCAAAGAATTAGAATAACAGCAAGTTCAATGATGGTGAGCAAATGAAATTACTTTGTTGAATCTATCAATCAATATATGGATTGTTATACTGATACTTATATTAATTTTTCAGACCAAACATTAAAAGAAATGTCTTAATTTTTTACTAATAATTTATACATTAATTTTAATGTTGCAGTACCAAAAGTACAGCATCACAAGTTGGTGGATGAGGAAGGTGGTTGTCCCCCTCTGCTCTGCAGGGGTGTGGCCTCCCCTTGAGCACTGTGTGCAGTTTTGGGCACTGCAGTATAAAAAAGATATTAGACTATTAGAGAGTGTCCAAAGGAGGACAGCAAAGATGGTGGATGGCCTGGAGGAGGCCACATGAGGAGTGGCTGAGGTCACTTGGCTGTTCAGCCTGGAGGAGACTGAGGGGAGACCACTGCAGTCACAAATTCCTTGTGAGGGGAAGCTGAGAGGCAGACACTAATCTCTTCACTCTGGTGACCAGTGACAGGACCTGAGGGAATGGCCTGAAGCTCTGTCAGGGAAGCTTTAGGTTGGATATCAGGAAAAGTTTTTCACCCAGGGGGTGGTTGAGCACTGGAACAGGCTCCCCAGAGAAGTGGTCATGGCCCCAAGCCTGACAGAACTCAAGCAGCTTTTGGACAATGCTCTCAGGCACATGGTGTGATTCTTGGGGTGGTCTTGTGTAGGACCAGGAGTTGGACTTCTGTGATCCTTGTGGGTCACTTGCAACTCTAAGTATTTTATGATTCTATGAAAATTTCTATTAGCTAAGGATGAACTTTAAGATTCCTCTGCTAAGAGGAATTGGTTTTTCTTCTGGTCTTTGGAACCATTGGGATAATGTCACCAAAATATGAAATGTAAAGCTTGCTTTTTGTAATTTATTTGGTGATTTTGTAATTATCAGTTTCTAAAGTCTTTATAGATAAACCTATTAAACTGAAGTTGCAGAGCACTTAAGTCCAAGGTTCAGATTTTATGGCCTCATTAGTATGGCTGATTCCATTATTTTAGATATTCCTCTCTTCTACATTTTGCTTCCTGCTTTGAACAAAATAACCTAAAAGCTGTTCGTGCTTACTTCTCACAGGACTATCCCATAGAAGATGAACTTCGTTTGTTGTTGGTGTCTTTACCTCAGACTGGGCTTGATCCATGTGTCCAGTACTTCACATCTCTTGCGTTACGTGAAAGTAGCCAGACTCTTGCTGCACAAATGGTGAGTTCCCATCTGCAGAACAGAACTGCTTGGGTTCTTTGTGCCTGCAGAGCTCGAAGATACAAATCTTTTTCTATATTTTTTATCATTGTAAGAGGAAGAGAAGTACAGACACTTTGTGAGTGTAGAACATGAGCAAGATCTCTTCTAAATACAGTTTGTCTGCTTGAAAGCTTGTTTATATTTTTAGCCGTACTAGTTGAAAGGCGTAGTTAAGGATTATATCTTACAAGCCTTCCCATTAAGCAGACATTTCAACACTCTGTCGAAAACATTCCTTCCCCTTATAGAAAAATCATAAAATGATTTTTCACATTTCATCTTACTGTTGTTTGAATGTTCTTTTACTGATGAGATTATTAAACCTCTCTTAAGTCTCTAGTAAAATGGTAGGTTATTAGCACACCTTAAATAGTAAACTCTGTTACATCACTTGGAAGTGCCTCTTTGAAATAGGTCCCCCAAACCAGAACTGCAGTAGTCTATGGTCTGTTTGGACCTGGATCTAGGAATTCTCCAAATGTGTCTGTGCAGCAACTTCCTAAGTGGCTTTAGGAATGTCATTTAAAGTGCCATTATTGTTTAAAAATAATATTTATGTCAGTTTGATCCACTCTCTCTTGTGAATTTTACTTTTTGTTGTTTAAAAGTTCTAACTTTCTTAATCAGTGATTGTTATTTTTTAGAAGATGCAATAACAAAAATGAATGTCATTTTAATAACAATGCTTGTCAGTCTTGGTTTAGAGTTTCCAGAGTGCAATAACTCCTTATTTTCTATGACAGAGTTATATGTGCTATTTTTACACTATCACTCCTTTACTATTTTCACAGCCAGAGCTCGTGCTACAAAGGGAGCTTTGGTAAGACATCACACTTGGAAGTATTTTGATTTTTATCGAGGTTATGTTGGTCTTTCTGCTGTGTGATTGAGAGACTGGTCTTCTGAGGCTGTGCCACATATTGAAGACCTTTCTTCCTCCTCTTCTAAGTTTTGCAAGTCTAGAGTTACGCTGATTCTTGCTTTTTTATGCTTAAGCAAATGATCTTAAAAGATGACATTCATTAACAAAATGAAAATAATACATTTTCCCCCTTTATTTTATGTTTTGAAGTTAATAGACTAAGGAGACCACACTGAAAATGTAGTTAATATTTCCAGTTAAAAATAGTAAATACTTTTATGATGTACTGTTGTGTAATTTGTACGTTTTTGAGAAGTGCATGCATGCTGTGCACTCTTTAAAGCAATTTCTATAGATCATTACACACTTAACATTCTAGATTAGAAATCTTTTTTTTAATGTAGCCATTTGAAATGTGTTACTATTTTTATGGTTTTTCATTTCAGGGAGGCTTATGGTGTTTTGGAGGAAATGGACTTCCATATTGTGAGACATTGAGTAAAGTCCCTTCAGAGACAGTGGAACTCTTTTGCTTGCAGGCTTTAGTACAGCATTCTAAGGTAATTTGTCTTTAAACTGTAACTGAAAAGCTACATTTATAGACATTCCTCTCTAATGCACTCTCATGTATTGGGAAGGAGTTGTCATTTCCTTGTCTCCTACCCCTTTCTCCTTCTGTAAGAATGTTTAAACAGCTGAGATGGGTGTGAAATGAGCACTTTGCTGTAACACTGTAGGGTTTTTTTTCACATGAGGAAGTGTCTGTAAGTTTTGTTGCTGTTTCTTATTCGCCCTTACAAGTTCCCCTGTACTATAAAAGTATGTATCTTTGAAGAGGTAAAAGGGCAGCTCTGAGGATGTAATGCCTGGTTTTCACAAAGCAAAATAGTGTCATGAATTCACGCCAATTAGAAACCAGAACAGAATGCAAACCTTACCCATGCACAAAGGTATTCTTTGGGCAGAATATTGCACAGCAAACAGCTAATAATACAGTGGTCTTCCCAGGACCAGTCTGCTTTTGCAGACACAGATGAGGAGTATGGAAGACATTTTGTAACAGTGTTGCTTCTTGTTTCCTATTGCTACATTTTTCTGTGTACGCTTAATTGTTCAGAAGCATAGAATGCTGAAAAACAGTGTCAAGAACACCAAATGGTTACTGATAATTGGGATGGAAAAAGTGCAGCTTCCTGGTATTCTTTTCACATCTTTCACATACATAGAAATTCTGACTTAGTCTAGAATTTGTTATATTCGAGATTTTCAGTTTAAGCAAGTTGTGACTGTACTCATTCCAAATGCCTGTTGAAAGCTACAGGCTTGAGGATATCAGCAGTTCCAAAGCCACTCTGCATATTCATCTGGACTAAATTGTTTGTCTTAGGATCAGTAATGATAGCAGTACTATTTGGAATGTAAAAAAATCTTTTTCATTTTGAAGAGAAGGAATTATAATGATTGCATTTTGGGTGGTGGACAAGTGGCTCTGGTTGAGATAGTGCTTTAGCAAATACAGACAATTGACCTGTTCAGACTCTCGAACTTGAGTTGAAATTTGATCATGCCAAGTGGAGACCATGTCATCTCCCTCAGACATGAAGAAGGGTAGAGAGGTAATACTCACAGATTTTAAAGTTGTCAATTCATAGGAATTATGCATTTTGCATATTAAAACATCTATTTCCTCTTCAAACATGGCATAATAAATTCTAGATTAATCTAATTTCTATGCAACAAGGGCTGTGTTATACCTGCTTCTTAAAACTCCCTAATTTATGAATTAACCTTTTGCAGAATGTCTATTTATTGTCACTGCATTTGCTTTGTAATGCCAGATTTCCTCTCACTGTGATAAAATTGAAGCTAAAGGAGGCCTCCAGCTACTGCAGAGGATATATCAGCTACGTAAAGATTCAGCAAAGATCCAGAGGAACATAATCCGCATTATTGGGAATATGGCTTTGGATGAACATCTGCACTCATCCATAGTACGTGCAGGTAAAAGGAAAGCTCTCTCAGTGGTAGATTTCTACTCAAAAAGTTTCAGATAATTAAATAAAAGAAATAAATAGAAAATGTCAATATGCTGTTCTATAAATCCAAGCAGATGTCTGCCTGTTTAATACAGTGTGCATTTTTACACAAAGGAGAAGTAGCAAAGGCACGGGAAAAGATGGTGAGGGTGATTAAAAATTTGCAATGGCTGTGATATGAAGAACAAATAACTAGACTAAGATACTTAGCATGGAAAAAGCAACTGAAAGAGAATATGATGGAGATTTATAAAATTCTCTTCCCTGGCATAGAGAAGGCAAAGAGGGAATGGTCATCTGCTGTTTGTTGTAATGCAAGACCAAAGGTTCTTGTACATTAAATTATAAAAAGAGAGAACAAATAAATAGTATTTTCCATATATTGCATGACCAAAATAAAAGTTGCCACAAAACATCACAGAGCTTCAAAGAGTGATGAGACAAATTCATGAAATGAAAAATCCATAAAGTTCTACAAATGGAAACAAAGTTGACTGCTGAAAATCTGAGTGTATAGACTAGAATCAGAACTGTATAATTGTCCTTTTGTATTCTTATTCTTATATTGGTCTGCAGCTTCCATACTGCTCACTTCTGAAGAAAGGCAGCTGGACATAAAGGCCTTTGTCCCGGGCTCTGGCACAATTCTTAAATTCTAATGATTGCTGAATCCATACATGTAGAAGAAGAGATTGAAACAGGAGAGTCAGCAGCTCCCTGGGACAGAGCCCTCAGTACAAAAGGAATTTTAGACAGTGAATCAAACTCCAGAGATGAGCAGTTGGATACTTCTAGTCCAGAGTTGATAAAGCTTCTCTTTTATTGCTGGATGATGCATAAGAAGAAAGAACCTCTAAGGCTCTTTTTCTTGCAAAAACTGCTGGCACAGGAAGAAGAAAACCAGTAATGCACTGTGTAGTAGCTGTGATGGGGTATCTGGGAGTAGAGCACTTACTTTTGATTCTGAACAGTTACTTTTGACTCTTCATCTTGACTGCGAAATGCAAAACCAGAGACCAAGCTAGTTTTAGTCAGACTATCTTCCATTGTGTTTGGAGAACTGAAAGTAGACTTCCGATAGTATTCTTCTTAAGTACAACTTTCACAGTGGTCAGCATGTATTCTGCTTAGAAACATAATTTAAATACATTATTCTTAAATAAAGAATATAGTCCTCAAAGGTCCTAGTAGTTTTGTTAGTTTAAGGCAAAACTCGAATGTCAATTTGTTCTTTTCCTCAGTTTACAGTAAATGGTTTTGAATTAGCAGCTTACCGACTATACTAGTAACAACATAATGTAATGGTTTTGAAACAATGCTCATGAAGTAAATTCCCAGGTTTTATTTATGGACTTGACTGTAATGTAACTGATTTATAGACTGTTTTTGCTAGCAACAACAAGATTTATCAGGATTTTAAAGAAACCTGTGCATATGCACATCAAAACATTCCTTTACATTTCTCAGTAGTCTATGACAATTCCCTTCCATATTTGAGAAAATTTTACGCCTTAGGTGCAGTATCATAAAGTGTTTGTCAGCCATTTTATCTTTGACTTAAAATTTTATTGAGGATTGTATCCAATTTAATTGTCTTACATTTCTAATGTATAAATAGTATACAAATTTTAGAATAGCGAAGATATTTTAATCACAGGAGAGTTTTTCTTATGCTGGATTTTAAAATTAGAAATTATTGTACTTTCACAGCAAGCATCAATTTTTTTACCTGCCATTGCTCCTGTAGGTTGTTTTCTATACCTTTCTTATGCTTTAAGCTTCATTGTCTCCATCTTCCTGGCATTTTACCTGCAAAAAGAGATCTGAGATCTGTTCTTGCTACAGCTGTACTGACCTGCTGATACACTTTATTTTTCTTCTGAGAAGGGGTTCTTCTTCAGATCATAAGATGAACAGTCATAAAATACATCTCAATTTTTGAATTTAGGAGATTCCACTTAGCTAGCCTTTACTTTCCTGAGGTAAAGAGTAGATTGAAATAATTTATTTTGACGTTGCCGTTCTTAAGTTTTAACATCTATTTTCAGATGTATGGTTTGATGGTTGATGTTTCTGAATTCTGTTGTTCAGATGATGTTTCTGTTAGTTGACCTGCCCTTTCCTTTTCTCAATGTAGGTTGGGTTTCTGTTCTTGCTGAAGTAATGAAATCCCCATACATCATTCAGTCTTCTCATGCATCCAGAGCTTTGGCTAATCTAGACAGGGACATGGTGAAAGAAAAATATGCAGATGGTGTTTATGTCTTACATCCCCAATATCGTAGCAGGTAAAGTAGGAGTCATTGTACATACTGTACTTGGAGTTACTTGTTCTGCTGTTCTGTTACAAAACCTTTGAAGAGTTGACATCAGAGTGCTGCTGTACCGATGTTACCTTGCCTCTCCTGTTCTTTGGTGGGTTGAAAGGACTGAATTTAAATTCTCAAGCAGAAGAACAGTAAAAGTGGTTGGAGCAGTCCCTAGGTGTGGACAGAGTATTACTGTAATGCATGGAAAATCTGAACACAAGACATGAAATTAATTGCTGCTTTGTGTGGGTTGCAACTGTTTAACCTTTGCACTTTTTCTTGGGATATAGTGCCTTGTAATTATTCTACTGGCAACAGCACGTGTTGGCATAAGTTGCAGTAAATTTTCATCCTCAGTAACAGTGGTTGTGTGTCTGGGACTAAAGCAGTCTCCAGCGTGGGTGTCAGTAGTAACTGTTCCCTGGGTCATTGGTGTTACTCTGGTTACAGTGAAGATCTAATGTGATAATAAGGCTGGAGCTACCAAGCCACATGAACAGTGGCTGGCAGGAAAGGTGTTTTTCATTATAGAGAATTATGATTTATGATATGGATACTTTCCATACCTCATTTTATATCTTTCTTCTGTGCGGTTCCCTAATTGTTGTTTTTATCTGAGTATGCTCTTTGAAATATCATGAAATGTTGTCCATAAGGTAAGAAGTCACATGTCATGTTAAAAAAAGCATTTTGGCATCCCTTAGGTTAAAAGTTCCAATTTGCTAAAAGGACAGGTACCACATATCTCTTACAATTTCCTTTTGCTTGATCAGCCAGCCTGTCAGAGCAGACATCCTCTTTGTTCATGGGCTTTTGGGAGCAGCATTTAAAACCTGGCGGCAGCAGGACATTGACCGGCATTTGGATAGAAAGGCCTCAGAAGGGGAAGAGGAATACACTCAGTGCTGGCCAAAGGTAAAACAAACAGTAACATTTTCACATGTGGCTGCTGCTTGCTCATTCAGGAGAGCTGTCCCAAGCATCTAGAAAGACACTGTCTGGCAGATGTCTTTTTTTCATTCAATTACTTGTAGTCTGTTATACAAGTGGCAGTTTCCAAGTTCCTGATAAGTTTTTGTTAATGACTTGTTTGTTGTTCTTGCAAGGAAAAATCCCTGCTAAGTTTTATGTTCTCAACATCATTCACATGCTAGTGAAAGAGGTGGCAATGGCTGATTTCCTTATGCTCTCTCTTCTTTTTTTTTTTTCTTTTTTTAATGGAACATTATTGCTGAGGAAGATTTATATAATAACATTTTAAATTAAGTTCCCTTTCTTACCTAGGTGTCTGAGTACCTTACTTTGTGCAGATTGCTATTTAAGTATTGTTGGTGAATAAGTAATTACTGCTCCAAGCAAACACGCTGGTATAGCCACTAAAAGTATCTCTATGAAACTTGAACTGATCAGTCCTGTTGGTAATCTTAGTAACTCATTTCACCCAGGAGAGGGAGCCAGGAATGCACGAGTTAGAGATGAATCTCCACTCTCTGCCTGCTTTGTGCCTCAGACACAATCTAAGAGTTCACCAGCATGTGATAAAAGAATGACAATCCAGGTGTAACATATATTTGGGGATTAACTGAAGAGCAAAAGTCTTTCTTGATATTGTCCCCATAGTAACATCTTTTCTCCACTGCTTTCAAGAATTTAAGTACATCAATTATAAGCTCCTTTGGTTTTGCTTTTCTTTAATTTAGACATGGCTTGCTACAGACTGTCCTTCCCTTAGAATCATATCTGTGGAGTATGACACTCATTTGAGTGACTGGAAAGCAAAATGTCCTGTTGAGGCTCAAAGGTAAGAAATGCAGCATCTGCAGTTTGGAGGCAGGGGCAGGACACAGACCTGTAAAGCTGATCATTGGGATCACCTACTCTGAAAGAGTCAATTTAACTTTTACTGTTGCTTTGAAAAATCAAATTAGGAGAAATATTAAGTATAGTCATGGTATGCTGAAGTTTTTAGCCTCATGGATAGCTACATGTGGCAATTTCATGAATTCTTACAGTCTATTTTGCTTCATGTTAAGGGAGACAGTAAATGATGCTATTAGTTAATGAAAATACAACTTTATATCTTAAGAGGTGTCTTTTTTTAAAGTGACACAATAATGCTTCATAAGCACAGCAAAAAAATCACTGTACTGTGGCTTTATACTCCTGATAAAATGAAGCATATATTTTCATAGAATCATTTAGGCTGGAAAAGACCCTTCAGGTAATCAAGTACAATCATTAACCCAGCACTGCCAAGGCCACCACAAAACAATGTTCCTAAGTGCCACATCCACATGCTTTTTAAAAGCTTCAAGGAATGGGGACTCAAGCACTTCCTGGGAAGCCTGTTTCAGAGCATCACAACCCTTTTGATGAAGAAATTTTTCCTAATAGCCAACCTAAACCTTCCCTGTTATCTCTTGTCCCTGTCACTGTTCCGTGGGAGAAGAGGCCAACCCCCACCCAGCTACACCCTCCTTTCAGGTGGCTGTAGAGAGTGGTAAGGTCCTCCTTGGGCCTCCTTTTCTCCAGGCTAATTGATCCCTCAGCCTCTCCTCACAGGACTTGTGCTCCAGACCCTTCACTGGCTCCATTGCCCTTCTCTGGACCTGATGTAGAGCCTCAATGTCATTGTTGTAGTGAGAGGCCCAAAACTGAACACAGGACTTGAGGTGCTGCCTCACCAGTCCCTTCCCTAGTCCTGCTGGCTACACTGTTTCTGATACAAACATACTGTTGTTCAAAAAATGTTTCTTTGGTGATAAAATACAATAACTGTATCTTCAATCAGATTGTAATTACCCTTGCCAGAGGAATGCTGTTTTTACTGACCTTGAACAGGATAGGTTAGAGGAAGATGCTACCTCCAAACATGTTGAAAAATAAGAACACTTTGAGCCTGTAAAGGATTTCTGTCTTGAATAGAATTTGGTTTTTAGGTTCAGTGATCTTTAAATCAGAATCCTTAAAACATTTATGCAGATATTTAAGCATGTAACCAGTACTGCAAATTCGACTTGTGTACTGCAGCAAGGGCAGGTGCATGGCTGCTTACAGGTTAAGAATCTGAAAATTAATAGTGTTTTTTGTGCAGGGAAGAAAAAAAATTCAATATGTATAATAGACTGGGAACTTGGTACTTGTTCATTCCCTCCCCTCTCTGGCAATTATTGCATTAAGGAAAACATGTAAGCAGGGAGAAAATTAGGAACACATGACTGTTAATTGCCTATTTGAAATTAGGCAGAAAAATTACAGTAAGGAGCATGTAGATGGTTACCTGTGCAGGTCCAAGAAGACTGGAATTGGCTTTAAATTGCACCAGGGGAGTTTAGATTGGGTATTAGGAAGAAATTCTTCACTAAAAGCATTGTCAAGCCCTGGAAGAGGTTGACTGGGGAAGTGGTTGAGTCCTGATCCTTGAAGATAATATAAAGACAGGCAGATAAGGCTCTTAGGGACATGGGTTTGTGGTGGACTTGTCTGTCTTTGGGCTAGCAGTTGGACTCCATGATCTTGTAGGTCTTTTAAACGTAAATGATTCTTTGATTCTAAGAAAACTCTTCTTGTGTCTGTCTGGAGCAAGTATGTTAAAAGAAATAAACATAGATTTCCTTTTTATTTCCCAAAGATAACATCTTTTTCATTACAAAATGGAAAATTGCATTACCAACTATTTATGATCACCCAACCAAAATATTTGATAATTTTATGTGGTTAATAATAAATGAAAGATATTGAAGATATTTTTAACTAGCAACAACAATGAGGTTGCAGTAGAAAAACAACCTTAGGTTTGATCTTAAATATACAGTCTCATTCACTGTTTCAAAAGTGAATTTTTATGTCTCTCTGCTAGCCTAGAGCGTACTGTTCATCTGAAAAGACACATTTGATTATTCTTTTCATATGTGCTATAAAGCAATTTCTAGTGAGAATGCTGAGACCAATAGAGATGAAGTGAATTATTTTGCACAGTGGTTGCCCCCATATCCTGATGTTTTCATTACTGAAGGGCCTTCTGTGTTTGATTCTTGTTACACTGCAAGGAGCAAAGTAAAGTGCAAGTGTTGCACTTTCAAGCTTGGATTGGGCATTGGCATTGGTTTTGTTTTGGTTCTACCACAGATTCATTTTCAAACTTTAATGTGTAGCTTATCCTTTCCACAGCTCAGTCTTCTTGTTTATAAAATGGAGATTATTGTGCTTTCATACTATTCCAGTAGAAAGCATTTGGAGATTGTCTGGCAAGTGTAACTGACATTGGTTGTGATTTTTTAAATGTACTGGTTGATTATGCACTTAGTTTTTAAATTTCTGTGCATTGCTCCATATTTTGAGCATTGTTTAGCAAAGTGTGTATGAGGTGTGTTCATGTTGCAGAGTGTAAAGTTCATTAGGTGTTGATGTTGCTTTCATAGAATTACAACTGTTTTGCTACAATGTGTATAATGAAACTATTTAAAACTCCATAAAACAACTTGTCAAGAAAACAGAAATATTTGCTGAGCAAAATTAAAGACTTCCTAGCAAGAGCAAGAAATTGAATTTAGCTCAATTCCCATTGTCCTTGTGAAGCGATCCTTACAAAAGTTCTTGGCCTTTTTCAATGTAGAAACAATAATTAAATAATTATTATTTGTTTACCTCATTCACTTTCATAAATGTGCAGCACTAAGATTCATTGTGATTTAACATTGCCTTTTAACCTGTCATGCTCCATGATGCCTGTGTTTGTATTTTCTGTGCAGGGAGTCTATTGCTTTCAGGAGCAGTGAGCTGCTTGACAAGCTCAAAGCTGCTGGGATTGGAGACAGACCTCTGGTGTGGGTATCCCATAGCATGGGTGGTAAGCGTGTTGCCTGTTTGATATAAAGCATTTATTTGCATTAAAGATTTCAGAATAAGCCATTAACCAAATTCAGGTAGAAATGCAATTATTCAGAATAGTTTATTTAAAAAATTGGCAAAGACCTAAAAATGAAAAACAGATTTCTATTTTCTTAATGCATTATATTTAATAGCATATAGGTTTTGAAAGGATTGTTATTGCTGTTTGTTCTTACTGTGTTGATTTAAAAACTCAATGAGTTGAAATTCATGTAAGTGGAAATCCAGAGGCAAAATTTTCTCCATGATCAGGCATATAGTAAATGTCATTAGCAACACATAACAGAAATCAAATTTGGATTTGCATCATTCATTGACATTTTATATTGATGCCTCCTCAAGCATGATTTGGGTTTTTTTCAAGTTAATCTTACATATTTGACAATCTAAGGACTAATCAACCAAGGCAAGAATATGGTTAGTTGTCTCATGGTTAATATAGCATGGCCATTATTTCCCAGTGATTTAAATCCCTGCATTAATTCAGCTTCTGTTGCCAGGTCTTCTAGTCAAAAAGATGCTGGTGGATGCTTCCAAGAATCCAGAAATGGATAAAATTGTAAACAACACCAGAGGAATCATATTTTATAGCGTACCTCACCATGGTTCCCAGCTGGCTGAATATTCTATAAATGCCAGATATCTCCTCTTCCCATCTGTGGAGGTTAAAGAGCTCAGCAAGGGTATGTTCACTTTGCTACCATCTAGCAACAGGAACTCTGCTAATCTGTTCTTGGTGCTTTCGGTTTTTTCATTGTGCTGTCAGAGAAAGCTGGGGAAAAACAACAAACCTCCTTTTTGTTTTGGGTTGTGTGTTGAATTATTGCAAGCAATTCTGAGTAGTTGTTTCATTTGATTGCAGAGGTGAGAGGAAAAAGGGGGAGTCAGAAGAAATTGTTGCCTATGCTAGTTGGAAAAAGGGATTACAAACAAAATGCTACACCTTTTACTGTCATAGTAATAAAAACATCTCTCACCCTTGCCAGAAGAATGATATAATCTTATAACACTGTAAAAATTATGTTGCTCTTTCTCCAGATTCTCCTGCCCTTAAACAGCTGAATGATGACTTCTTGTCTTTTGCCAAAGACAAGAAATTTTCAGTGCTGAGTTTTGCAGAAACCCTACCCACACACATAGGCAGCATGTTAAAACTGCATGTTGTACCTGTAGAGTCAGCAGGTAAGTGAGAAATAGCCATTTAATTTATTTAATTTGATATCTGTTGATGTAAACATCAATAACGAGAAAAGGTTATAAATATTATGGTAAAAAATGTAGAAAAATAAGGCTAGTACAGTGTGGGGGTTTTTGTTTAAACTTTTGACTGCTGAGATCAGAAGCAGCTACATTTAGATCTTAAAATAACAGTTGTTTGTTTTGATTTTGTGAAATCAGAATAACATCTGTTAAAAAAGAAGGGTAGACCCTGGTCTGATGTTGGAGTCCTTTCATTTGGAATTATGACTAGTTGTGGTTTCTCTTTGAATAGGTAGGCTGCATAGTGTTTCAGATGCTTCTGTAAACTCCTTTATTTGCTCCTTTAAAAAACTAAGAAAGAAAATTAGCCAACTGCTAATGGAAGGAAAAAGTCACAAAGCTGGTTTTCAGTGTTAAGAATCCTTTACCTTCCACATCTCGTGAACTCCAGCAATAGAGTTTGCCTCCTGAAGAGTTCCCTCCATCTTTTTGCCTTTTTTAGGAGAAGGGGAAACCAGACATGTTTTTCCCTTGCTTTTATTTATGTGTGTTCAACTTAGAAAACTGTTTTAAGTCTTATATTTTCAGTCTTTCTTTTGCACTGCCCGAGGTATCTGTAAAGCCAGAAACCACTGCTTTGTTAGGTTTTACATCAGGCTTTCCACCAGCTAAATCCACAAGCTTGAGTGCAGGGTTAGGTACTCTGAAAAAGGTGGGCTGTACATCCCTGTTTATCTGAGTTACTATTGAGCAGTTTTTTGCGGCAGATCCTCTTGAGCAGCAATGTTTTGCAAAAATGTTGCTGATGCAGTTTTATTGCAAAGGACTGAAAAACTGAACTTTTTTTTGTTATTATTTAACAAAATAAGGTTAAAAAGAGGGCTGAATAACAGAACCCAAGTGAGTACTGTGCACTTGTAATTTTGTAGCATGTCTCCTTTTCTAGGGGTGACACCTAGCACATGAGTGCTCTTGAAAACCTTTAGAGGGCACCTAGCAGTTCTGTAGCAGGCCACTGTTCAAAACACAGGCTGATGGGCAAACAGCTCCCTGTTTCTTGCATGTCTGCTTGGGCACATGAAAGCAGAGCTTCATCCTGCTCTAGTGTAGTTTTACATGGTTTGAGATACAGAAGTCAAAGCAAAATGGAGGATTTCTCTAGGTGATGGGAGAATAGACAATAAACTGGGATGTGGCAGTCACAGCATCCTAACTGGAAAGTTAGCAGTGATGGCTGTCAAGAAAGAATAAATGCTGTAGTGTGCCCAAAATCAGTAGCTGAAAATGGAATATTTGTATTCTACAATTAAGCAATGTAAATATTTCATTTATCTGGAAATGTGCTTAGTGATTTGCAGCATATTTCAGGGTCATTGTAGTCCAAATTTTAATGTCCATGTCAAAGTATTTGTGTAAGGGATATGGGCAATTAGTGGTGATCAGATTCAAGTTACCATGCATTAAACTACATCCCTGATCATATCAATGCTTAAACCTTAGTCAGGACCGTGCTATCAGTATTGTTTCAGCAAAGTTGTCTGTATGGAGAAATGTACATTTGTGTATTTCAAACAAAGACAGCAGAACTCTGACCTAATGGTGTCTCATGTGCCAGTGCGGGTTTTGTGGCAACACAGAGCTCTATCAGGCCATAACTGTGTGTACTGATGCTTTTAGCACATGAAAAAATAATGATGAACAAAGAGTTTTACTGAAGATAGGAGAAGTTGTTTTTGAGAGAGAAATTGCTAATGCAAGATGTTCTTTTCAGTCTAGGTTGTCATATGAACTCTGGTAGTTTTTTGGTTTGTTTTTTTTTTCCTTTTCCAGACATAGGAATTGGAGACCTTATTCCAGTGGATGTTAATCATCTAAATATCTGCAAGCCAAAGAAGAAGGATGCTTTCCTGTATCAACGTACACTGAAGTTCATTCAGGATGTTTTAGCCCCAGAACTGTGAGACTGAGGTTTTGCCATCCTTTCCTGGTTGTGTCCTGTGTTTGGTGTAACACAGAAACTTCTAACATTTGTTAGGGGATCTGCAGAATTACAAGGGTGCTGTGTCTATAGTATCTGCTGCTGAATAATTTCCTGTACATCTTGAACTTGAGTCACCTGTCCAATTTCTTTCTCAAAATACATCCAAAACAAATACAAACTTGGCAAAAAGAAAGTCCGTGCCCAGGGTATCTTCTTTTAGCAAAAAAAAAAAAAATAACCAAGCTTGCTTTGAAAGCAGATAAATATACAGCTGGGATAAAGTCTTATAGACAGGATTAAAAACAATTAAATGAGGTGGTTATTTGTTGTGTCAAAGGGGAGAAAGCAGTATGTGACTACTGCAAAGTTGTGGTTTGCTGCCCATGGTAAGGTAGCCTGACTGGAGCCTGAAAAATTAGTATTCAAGTGAATTAAGGTAGCACTTTGGCCTAGTGACCCAATTTTAGGAGGTTTTGTCATTTGCCTTTTCTTTTAAAACATCACCCACATTTGTCAGCAGATGCAGCATCTGTTTTTCTGCATGAGAAATGGACAGGTTGGTAGCTTGCCTTGCTTAGAAAATTGTGGTTGTTTTAATGAAAACAAAAGAAAAGAAATGTTCATCTTCTTGTGTATTTCCCTCCTAATCTTAGCAACTTGTGAGACTGCTTTCCTTAGGACAGTGTGTGTCTGGTCAGACAGGGCAGTTCTGTGCCTGTTCACATTGGAGATGTGTTTGATGAGCTCAGCTCTTTGCTCTTGGGAGACTCCAAGAAGTTGGTACATTCAAATCCCTGGCTCGTGTTACTCATACAGAAACTTTTCTGTAGCTGATTTAAAGAAGAGCATTGAAAATGCTCAGGTGGAGCACAACAGATGTAGGCCCTGACAAGAAAGCTGATGCTTACAGATTGGAGCTGAGGTAGAAAAAGGTAAGGCAGGAAGAAAATCAGGTGATTGTAAGGCCTCACTGGAAATTACCACAAATGTTTTGGTTTCCTGGGGCCCAAATATGTCTGCTGGTGTAGATACAGAGAAAACCAGCAGTGTCTTATTTGAGTTTGTTTGTTTATGTTTAGGATACCCTAACAGTACTGATGAGAAATCAGTATTTTTTAGATGAAAAAATGGCAGTGCACAGTCACTTTTTTGAAGTCTTAAATAATTTGCACTGTGGCTAAAAGCAGCCTCATGTTATTGTGGTCTCTTTAGTCTCTTTACACCTGCATCCCTCTCTGAAAACAAACATGGGCTGTGTAAAGCTGTACTGCCTTTGCTGACCATTTGTTAAATAAGGTCTGTATTGATGACAGGCTTGCGGTGTCTTCTCATGTCACTCCTGTGAGATGGATCCAGTATTAGTGTCCTTCAAATGATGGCTGTGAAAGCTGCCAAGGAGCTGGGATGCACCTTGCAGTTCTGCATGGGCTTGGTGCTGTGGGCACTGCAGTCCTGCCAGGTCCTGAGGGCAGCCCAGGAGGACATTGCAGCTCTAAATACACTTGAATTTGTAGACTTGAATACAGCTTTACACTGGAAATTGAGGGAACTGCAAAGTAAAATTCACAAGAGCAGTACAGAAACTGTACATCACTACACTGGCAAAAAGAGTATTTCCCCCCCCTAACTGAGAGGTAGGTAAGAACACTGCATGGCAGTATTTTGTATAGAAAATGTAAGAGAGATGTCATTATTCCTGAAGAGGTCTATATTTTTTACACTGTGGTTTAGACTTCAGAGTGTAAATATATTAGTACACTTTGTATTCACAGAGTAGAGTATGTGGAATTCATGGTGAATAGACAAGACTTCTAATAACTGAATGCTTGTTTCATGTGACAAATCTATTAGTTTTAGTAGACTCCTTTGGCTTACTCAGATTCAGATCAGTGACTTTAAACATTAATCCTAGCAAATGCATCTATGTTTTGTAACTGGAATTATTAAGGCAATGTTCTCCTTTTTGTAACTGTATTTATATATGTGTAACTTCTAAAACTAATATTTGGTAGGGGGCTCTTGGGTTTGGGGGTTTGGGTTTTATGTTTTTGGAATATACTAATGAAATGTGATTTTAAAATGTCTTGGATATGTCACAAAATGTATTAAAGGTTAATGATCTGCCAGCTGAATACTCTGGACCATGTTCTTTTTTGTTAAAGATCTGCATATTTTTTAGTGCTTGTCTTGTGCTGGGAGAATGTAACATTACCCTTTGCTTGGGTAAGAGGCACAGTGCTGGGGGTCGGCTGGTCTGGCATGTTTTGCCAAACTGAGCAGTTTGTCAGTTGTGCTTTTGGATTTTGCAGCAGTGTCTTCTAAAGTGTGTACAGACATCAGTTTGAGGGCCAGCAGCTCTGTGGCTGAGCATTCATGTCTGCTTCCCATCAGGAATTGGACGCTTTTATGCTTGCTGGTGTCACATTAATTGAGAGTAGTGTCTTTGGGTAAGTTCTCAGGTCTCAAAGTACTCTTTTAATGCCATCTGGTGGCTCAGCTGCAGGTGTGGCAGGCAGGTTGTGTGTGAGTTGTCTGAGGAGACGATGTTTCATCTGCATTGTGGCATCCAAGAGGAAATGGTGAGATGGGAAGGGAAGGCTAAAAGGGGTTGGTCAGTCCTCTTGCCCTTGCTGTCCAGCAGTCTGGTGTAACTGTGTTGGTGTTTCTAGCAGCAACAGCAACCAAGTATTCAATTGCTGTGATTACAGTGCTGTGAACTGGCTTCTGCTGAGATTTGTCCTTCCTGGTGCCAGCCAGAGTACCTGGCTGGAAATGAGAAATTTTCCATCTGGTGAAAATCCCAATTCTGGATGAAAAAGGAAAAGCAAAAATGTTGTTCTGTCAGAGTGAAAATTCTAACCAATGTTTTGGTTCTCTTTCTTTTGTTTGTTTCAGTGATAACCTCCCTAAAAAAGCTGAATCAGGCAGTTGCTTTACCAAGGAGAGCCACTTACCCACCCCAAACACGACTGCAGCAGAGCCACCAGGGTGCCTACTGCAACTTGAAGCTGCAGGACTGCAGCCATGGGCAAGCTCACGTGTGGTGTCTTGCCAAAGCCTCACATACTAAAGGCAGACACTTGTAGACTTGTGTCTGGTAAATCATACCTGGCTTCACAGCTGCCATCAGCAATTTTTGCCAAGTGCTGGCTTCATGACCGAAAGAATGTCACAGGATAACCACTCCCTACAACCCATTATATGCCCCTGAAGAGTGACAGCTGTCCCTGAGGACACTGATTTCCATTGATTATGTCCCAATGAGGATGGGCAGCAGAGCTGTGCTGTGGGTTTCCTGGTTGTGGACATCAGGTACTAAGGGGCATGGTGGGGCCTGGCTTAATCCCAAATGAGAAGGAAAGAGTCACTGCCTCCTGCAGTCTGAGTTTTCCATAGTGATTTCCCAAACATGGAGCAAGTCTGGCTCTGCTTTGCTTCCTCTGACCATTGAAACTAGAACCAGATCACAAGCAGGTCACAAGCTCCTGCCTCTGAGAAAACACTTGGCTGCGACTTTGGGCACCAGTGTGGAAGGTAATTTATTGAGACAGGAGATTCCTCATTCTGTGCTGTAACCTTTTCAGCTGGACTGTCTGTCCCCTTGCCTTGATTTGCTGCGACTGAGCAATATCTCCTGTCACTGATAGCATAAACCAGCGAGCTGCCGGGATTCATCCTTCAGTGGGCAGCTTGCCACAGACACAGACATAAGATAGAATGCTAAAGGCCACATCCGTCTCTTATTCAAGGAGAGTAATAAAGCAGATTTTATTTGACTTGTATAAATCCAGTTTAATTGGCTTTCCTGCTAACACTTTCATTAACATGTAAATTAGCTGTCCTAGAGCTGTTAATTATCTTTGCAGAAAATGTTGGATGTGATCATATACCGTACTCTTTCTTTTTTATTGCTAATGTTTTATACTGAGATGTGCCCATAAATATTCACTGTATTTTTTAAGAGGAGGACCAAGAGGCAAAGGCTTTGTGTCATCTTGTAGGGAAATGAGTATCTTATATTATTCACCAGCCTGCAACCACGTTAGGCTGACACTCACAGGAGAAGCTAAGCACTGGGCTTTATGGGCTTGGCCTTTGAAGGTTCGGGGGATTTTTTTTTAAGTGTTTGGCAAATGAGAGAGCAGAGGAGGATGACAGGTGCTCAAAGGCAGCATCCTCTCTTACAGGATCTCTTGTGTTCAAAATCTGGCAGTGGCAGAGAAACAGGTAGGCATTGTGAGGAAGAAAATGGCTGCATTCCCAGTGTTTGGGAAGCTCAGAACAAGCTAATTAATTTTCCTGTAGAAAAAGGAAAAAAACCTTAACTTTTTAAATACATCTCAAAAATTTTTTTGAAAATTAGTTGTTTTTTCAGCTTCGCCACCTGCTTAAAAATGTTCTTTTTCCTTTATTAATGAAAGATCTTGATGCTTCTCTTAACAAGTTACCATGACAAGTTGCAATCTGGTTATTAGCTGTCTGCTTTGCACAAATGGCATCCATCATGCACAGTTCTACCCCACAGGCAAGGCAGAAAGAACCAGCTCGCTCCTCATCTGCGCTGTGGAAACAGAAGACCGACATGGCATTTGCTTGTGAAGAGAGTGGGAACAGGGACACAACTCCTGAATTGCAGAACTGCCTTTAGCATAAGACATGCCCATGCCAATACCTGTGGCATCAGCTGGTCTCAACCATTCCCATATTTCCTCGGGATCTGCACAGAAAATGCACAAGCAGCCTATAGCATCTCCTTGCAGTGAAACAGCATTGGAAAACTATAGTCCCTTTTCCAAGTGTGCTGTTGGTCATGGGCTTGGGAACAAAAACCAGGGTGAGGTTTGGAAACTTGCAGCAGAGCAATACCAGTGTTACTGCTGTTGTTATACTGGTGTACATTCCTCCTTGAGATGTTTGTTCCAGAATAACTGGCAGACGAACTCTTCGAAGTAAGGATGCTTTATTTCAAACAGCAGAAATTGATTAAAATATATATTCCAAAGGAAAATGTTGGGTTTTTTTTAATGTCTTTTTTCCATACATCATTACATGTTCTTACATATAATTTGTACCTGAAATGAAACAAAACATCTTAAGATGGATTAATAAAAAGAAATAACTTAGAATAAGGAAGTTTTCAAATGAGCTGTAGGTAATGCTAGGTTGTATGTACTTTATATACTTCCCTCCAGGGGCCGTATCTTTAAATGTGAAAATGAAATGTAGCATGGACAGATGATCATTAAATATAAAAAAGATTTTTTCTTAAAATTTTGCATCATAATTATGATTTCTTTTGGAACACTAAGGGAGTAAAATTTTACAACTCTAAATCAGTATTTGTTTTCATTAAGGTATTTTTGTTTTGTTCTAAGACGAGCAGTTTGTTGAACCCGTCTGCTACTGCACTGCTGTCTTCATCATCACTAAATGTCACCCAGTGACTGAAATCTTTCACATTGGGGTGATTTAAATTTTCTGAAGTGTGTGCTGGAGAAGTAGCTGACGGTGCCTGTGTGGAAAGAGGGAAGGGAGAATGAATGTCCAGGTCCAGAAGATTAGTGTTCTCTGGAAAGGAGCTGGTATCCAGTCGTTGTGGATGCTGGCCTGCTGCTGCAGAAGGGCCCTGGAGCTTCTCCATCAGTTCTGCAGCACTGGGTGCCAAGGGCTGAGTTGTGCTGTTTGCGGGGCCCGCAGAGGCTGTGGGAGCTGAGCGAGCAGGGCCATGAGTCTGGAGGCAGGAGCCAGGGTTGTTGTTGTTGTTGGAGTTGAACAGTGACCCACTAAAAAGGGAGCTGTCACTGCTCTGGAGAACTTGGAGATGAAAAGCTGCAGGAGCCGACTTCTTCCTTCGTGGTGGCACCTTTGGGGCAAAGGGAGCGTTCTGGGGAGGCAGTACAATGGCCTCAGCTGTGCTTGCTGACAGGGGCTGCCTTTCACTGCTCCCCCTGCTCTCTTGAGGCTTCCCAGCTTGTGTTCTGGGTTTAGGGACTGGAGTGATCTTGGTTGGTCTAAGAATAGCTCCAGCTTCTAGATGGGGCTCTAGCAAGCCAAAAGGAGACTGTGCTGTCTGTTGGTCGAATTGGTCTTCTGGAGACATGGCCTGAGGAGGAAATGGAAGAAGAAATGTGAGAACAAAAAGGGACCTTAAACTCTGAGTCACTACTGGTGCAAGTCTAATTGACAGCATTACTAAGAAAAGCTGACAGTCCTGGAAGAAAAAGAAAGCACTACAACGAGGAGGCTTGACAGCACAGTGCTCCACTGTACCTGCCGGGCTCTGGGCTCATGCATTGCACCTTGCACTCACCTTCAGAGAGCTAGTGAAGGACCAGGACCCTACAGCCTGTTTAGTCACAGCTCTTTCTGACCATGTCCCTTTTCAGGTCAGAATTTTTGCTCTGGGCCAAATTAACACAGTTTTGAGGAGTTATTTATTTGTTCCATCTCTCTGCTGACTATTATTACTTAAGCAAGATTGCATAGGGAGGCCTATGCCTTTAGGTGTAGCCTATTTGGATAGATAAGGTTTGAAGGAGAATTAGCTTAAGCTAACCCAATAAATGCATTAAGGGCTGTGTCGTGTCTTACTGATGCTGGCAACTGAAGATAAAAATAAGATCTCAAAGTCCAGTCTACCATACATCCACCATTTAAAAGTATATAAATAACAAGCCCAGCTCAGCCTAGGAAGGCAAGGGCTGCTTCAGATTTCTCACACTCTGTGTGACTGAATGAAAGCATTTAAATTCTTTATTACTCTTGCATAGTATTAAAAGATAATGTACAGGCTTTTTAATGCAGGCAAAATATTTAGTCAGTATCTCATGCTGGACATAGCCCTTGCCACTTCTTCCTATGTGCTGTTAAGTTGCCTGCATTTGACTGCGGTAGAGGGGGATTAGGTAGAGGTTTTCAAGTACACAACTCCCAGCTGACCTCCCTCAGATGGAGGAAGGAGTGGAATTCCAGGGCAGTCAACCTGAAATAGATCTATTCCTCCAGAAGCTCCCACATAACTAACACCAAAATAGCAATCCCTCTCAGCACCTTTCAAGAGTGACTTGGGAATGGTGACAACCTAAACAAAACAAACTGACCATCCTCGGCATAGACTGTGCTGTCTGGGTTGGGTTTTTTGGTGAATCTGCTAAGGAAAGAGAGCACAAAGTCCATTATAGAGAAGGGGTGAATGCCTTTACCAAAGGAAGGTAAGGCAGGAGCCCTAACAATTTAGAAGAGATTAGCAGCAATTCTGTCAAAGGAAGAATATATAATGCTATATTTGTCTTTCCTCTTGTGCTCAAACTGCTTTACAAATTAGATAATCATTTTAGCAGCTCTAGAGGTGAACTATTGTCTCCATTGTAGAGACCTGACATACATTAAAACCTGAACACCTACAGCTTTGTATTTTTGAGAACATGAGCTCTTGAGTAGACTCCAGAATTCAAACTGAAAGGCTGAATCCCATTACAAGGTGTGTAAGAAAAGCAAGAAAGGACACAGGACACAGAACTGATGAAGAAGCTGCCTCAAATCCTTACAGAGCAGACCACTCATGGTCAAAATTAGAGACTGATAAAGAACAAATGAGTCTTAAATCCTGACAAGGTTTAGACAAACCAGAAGAACAACAAGAGAATGGACTGACAAATAGAAAAGCTGCATATGGCTCTCTTTCCAATCTTTCTTGCATTTTTATGCCTTTGTGACTGTAATACACAAAATTATTCCAGCACCTGCTGACTTGACAGGACTTCCTGCAAAAAACAACCAGCCATTCACACTGGTTCCAACCTCAATCATTCACACTGTGTAATGGAGGCTGGGTGCATTTTGCTGCAACTCTCTTACATTTTCCCCCTTGGCTCCTGTCCTTTGCAGGGGCACTGGCTTCTTTGGAGTTGGAACTTTGGGTGGTGGACGATGAGGCACAGGCACTGCTCCTGAAGTTGACTTTGTGATGCTGGGAAGAGCCTCAGGTTTGCAGGAAGTTTGGTTTCTGGCTGGAACAGGCTTTACTGCATCTTCCTGTACTCCTGAAATGCAAAAGCAAATATGGCATCTTGGCCTGATCAGAACATAGATTCAAGATAATTTCTTTCACAACCATGTCTCCCAAAATGTTCATGCCTATAGGGCCAACTCAGGCCAAGAAGGTAGGTTTTGGAACTAAGCACACACCTTTGCAATCCTGTAACATCTGTAAGAGGCTGTTAGAGGAAAACTTCCCTGTCTGAAATAATTTCTTGCCAAACCAGCAGTGCTGTGCCACCATTTGGCCAGGTGGACAAAACACTGGCTGGGGGTTCAGGAGTACTGGGCTCAAGCTCTGAGTGTCCTTTTGCCATTATCTGGAAAACCAAGTTAATGATACCAAGTGCATCTTGTAGAGTGTTTTAGAAAGAACTGTAAATGCCAACTGGTGGTACTGTACAAGGGACTGGAAGTGATGCTGACCAGACTAGTTTTCTTACCCATACCAAGTGAATCTGAATTTCAAAATAAATGGAGAATAAATCTGATTTCAAAATGAAATGAACAGCACTGAGGAACAAGCATCAAGATGCCTTTTTGATATTTCTGAATAAATGGGATTATTGCAGATTGTATTCATTCTAGGTATAAATGAAGAGGGGTGGTTTTCTCCTAAACTGAGAGCCTTGCAAACTCAGGTAGCCATTTTCATTCATACAGCATCAGCAGAAAGACTGCATGCAACCCTGGGGGGTACATTCACAGTACCTAAGGTAGTTTTGTGCCCTAACTTGCTCTTGCAAGAAGCTCTCTTCTCCAGGGACTACACAGAGATCCTAAACACAGAGTAGCCTTTTAGCTTAGCTATTCAAGCTGAAGTAGTGCAAGCTTTTATCTAGGTTACAGCTGTACTTGCTGTCCAAATGTGAACAGAATCCAGGTTATTCCTCCTAGAGCTGCATTTGCTCTGTAGTTCTGCTTGGAATAGTGAGCATTCAGTAAATAGAGCAGCAAATACCCTTTATGCAACTCTGAGCTAAAACAGGCACCATCAGTTTAGTAAAACTCCATCTTTATATTTTAATTCTTCTGACTAAATCTGGGCATAAATAACCCAAGGTTTTACTAGTAGCAGTTTCTACAACAAAATATAAAATTTTAATAATTTTGAAAAAAGGTTAATATTATCAGAACTCACAGAGAATACCACATGCAATTTTGCAAGAATGTATTCAGGTGAAATTCCGAATAGGAATATGTGCATCTAGGCCATGGTGAGATGAATACACCTATATTTTTCTTTATTTAAAGATTTTTAGAAGTCAGATATAAAGCTGTGCTTACCTCCTTTGGCCTCCATAAGACATCTAATAGCTTCTTCTGCTTCCTCCGCTGTGGTGGTTTTGATCTGCTTGACGTTGTAAGGTTTGCTTATTCCAGTCCGGACTTTGGGCTTTAAAAAAAAAAAAAAAGGAGAAAATCATCTTGAGAAAACTGATTTTTCTTGTACACCTCTAATTTTACAGCTAAGCTCATACACCTGTGAAATTCTGTTCTTGCAAATGGCTATTCAGTGATCTATAAATACTAAAGAAATGGGAATCTTTTAGCAAAGGGTACATCTTTGCTGGCAGCTGACAGAAGGCCAGTGCCTTGAGTGCCACTGCTGGTCCCTCAGCCATCCCTTGTTCAACGCATTAGGCTCCTCATGCAGCGAGACAGGAGTGAGAAGGCATTTCCACATTCTGGTCTTGGTCTCCTCAGGGGACTAAAGCCTTGCTGGCAGTGGTCAAGACTTTCCCTGCATTCTGGGCACTAGTGTGGCTCACCAAAACAGAGGTGAGAAAAGAATTAAACCATATGATGATAGTGTTAAAAATTCAGGTTAGCATCTGTCAGAAAGCAGCAACAATGCCCTTGTCTTACACCACTCATTCTCTTTCCCCCTCTTTGGCCTTCCTAACTCCTGTTCATTTATTAATGTTTTTGTGCTGCCTAACAAGCCTACAGTTTAGTATTACAGTACAGGAAGTTATCTTGGCATTTTCAGCTCAGACATGTGATGGACTTCCTTCCTGGTATGACAGGTGCATCCTGTACATGATTCTCAGTGTGGATGGGAGGGAACAGGCCAGTGCCAAGGGGCCAGGCTGGGCAGGAGGACTCACTGGCTGCTGAGGGGCTCCGGGAAGCAGCTTTGCTGTTGCCAGGATGGAGCAGGTGGGGTGGCTTCCTGGAGAGAGAGAACCATCTGAGGGGGACTTTTTGCCTGATGTTCCAGCTGGAAGAGGAA